GCAAAATATATTCCTAAGATTAATTTTAACTGATTCTTTTTACTTTTGTTTTTTAACATGACTGTTAGAAAATTTAAAATGTGATTCACATTTGTGGTGGACATTGTATTTCCAGTGACCACTAGTTTATTTATTTATTTATTTAATGTTTTATTTATTTCTGAGAGAGAGAGAGAGACAGCGTGAGCAGGGGAGGGTCAGAGAGAGGGAGATACAGAATCTGAAACAGGCTCCAGGCTCTGAGCTGCCTGTCAGCACAGAGCCCGACGCGGGGCTTGAACCCACAAACCGTGAGATCATGACCTGAGCCGAAGCTGGGCGTTTAACTGACTGAGCCACCCAGGTTCCCCCAGTGACCGCTAGTTTAAAGTCTGAAATTTGGAGGATATGTGACCTCTAGAAAACGTTAAAGATGGAGGAAGAGAAAGCAATCTCTTGTATTTGCAAATGTCTTTCAAAAGCAATAAAATCTTTTTTTTTTTTATTAATTTGGCTATTTTTCATAAGAAGGTGTACTCAAAAATAATGGGTTACGGCGCCTGGGTGTCTCAGTCAGTTAAGCGTCCAACTCCGGCTCAGGTTTGTGAGTTCGAGCCCCGCGTCGGGCTCTGTGCTGTCAGCTCAAAGCCTGCTTCGGATCCTCTGTCTCCCTCTCTCTCTGCCCCTCCCCCGCTTGTGTGTGCACATGTGCGCTCTCTCTCAAAAAAATAAACATTAAAACAATAATGCGTTAGGATTATTTTCCCAATAAAGGTTTTAGTTGAGATCTCCCAGAAGGAGACCGTGGCTCAGAATCCACATTGGAAGGTGACCCAGGAGGCATCTGTTGGGGAGAGGGGAAGCGGCACCAGGAAGGGAAGGCGGCAGAAAGACGGGGTAGACTCGAGCGTTGTTGCTGTGGGCCGCTGGGCCCCTCTCGGTGGGGCTCTCTGGAAGATGTTATGGGGCACAATTCAGAGTGCTCCCACCTGGGAGATGAGAGAAGCCAGCTCTTCATCCACCCACGGAGGCATCAGCCTCCCCTTGTTCTCCCCGGCACCCCAGCCTGCTCCGCCTGGGGACCAGATAAATCCCCAGTGCCCAGAAGAACAGGTGCTCACAGCCTAACGCCGCCAGCAAGCCTGGGGATGGTGACGGCTGGAGGCACGGGGTTGGTCCCCCGTGGTGCCTGGTACTGACACCAAACTGAATGTCTTACCCTGTAATTCATGACTTCAACACGCATTTCTGTGGTTCCTGGTGAATGCGTTCATTTTCTCCCCTGACCTTCACAATAGCCCAGATGAGTAGATCTGGCAGTACCCATACAGGGATGGGAAGACTGAGCCCGAGAGTCCTCTGTCCGGGAGAATTCAGCTGGGAGGGTAGCCCCGGTCTCCTCACTCCACATGTGTGGTCACTCCTGCCTGATTCCTTCGATCTCCACAAAGCTCAGCTCCATGAGGAGATGTAAATATGTTGACGTTTTCGAGGTGAGAACAGGAAACTAAAACTACTTTTTTGGTATTCTCTAGAATTCCTTAGATATCCATAGGGAAGTAGATGCTTCTCTACGCTTAGTCCCCAAACCCTATGCCAAAAAATATTATCTCTCTTCTGCACAAAGCACAGCCAAAATTAGGAGGTTATAGGACCTGCTGACCGCCACACAGGATGTTAGCGATACAGTTAAGTTCTAGAAAACTCCACAGAAGTCCCTGTAGTGGAAGCTTATGGATGCATGGTTCACTGAGGACTGGATTTTGTTCCCTTCCCATTACCCGGGCTTTCTTCACAAATGTTGTCGGTCCCTTTGGTACTTCTTGGAAACAAGTCTCTCCAGCTTCACTTCCCTTTATTATGCTTGTAAGTGACTCGGCAATTCTTCGTGGACTTCAGTAACACTTGTACTATTTAAATGTGAATAACCCCGAAGGATCTAGATAGGTCAATGTGTTTAAACCACAGGCTTTCGTCTACACATTAGTTGATTAAAAACAGATTCTCCTACATGATGTAGACTTAATAAAGGGAGGGGAAGCAAGCAGATGTTTGTAAAATCTCGATGTGTTAGATTATGTTGATTCGGCTCTCTTTTGCTGACTAGCTTTAGAAACATCATACCTGTGATAACTGAACTGTAAACAGGTAGATGATGTGTTTCCCTAGAAATTTCCTGCTCTGAGGGGTCAGCCAAAAAGACATGGAAAACAATTCCCTAAGATTAATGTACGGAAAGAAGTTGACAAATACACCCTGAAGTAGTCCTGTCTCCGACCCTAAGGTGATTGGTGGTTGTGATTCATTTCATCCAAACAGAAAAACTTTTGCCTGCTGTCTTCCTCGTCGTCGTCGTCGTTGGTAAGAGCGTTGAAGGCAAGTGCTTCTTTGATGCCAACGTGAACTCATTAACGTACACCTAAATCATTCTGTCTGGCTCCTTCTCTGACTTTTTGGTAAGGCATCCCAACCTGGAAGTGGGAAGTAGTCCTTTTTCTCCTTTAAAATATTGCTATCTGAGACCCTTTGAGTGCTTCGGAGTTCTTTGTGTCGGTCTTCCAGTCCGGATGAAGTCTGTACAGAACCCCCTTCTGAATTCTGAGCACACGAGAATTATAGATAAAATATTTTCAAATGGATTTTAAAGACTAATAACCGGGGCGCCTGGGTGGCTCCGTCGGTTGAGCGTCCGACTTCGGCTCAGGTCATGGTCTCACAGTTCGTGGGTTCAAGCCCCGCCTTTGTCTCTGTGCTGATAGCTCAGAGCCTGGTGCCTGCATCAGACTCTGTGTCTCCCACTCGTGCTCTGTCTCTCTGTCTCTCTCAAAAATAAACTTTTTTTAAAAAACTAATAACCATGTAAACATATGAGGAAAATCTCCAAGGACCAGAAATGAAAGGAAATGCAAAATAGTGAGGGAAGGCTGATGCTGGGCTACTCATGAGAAGTGGGGACGAGACAGAGCAGTGGGGACCTGAGAGGGACACAGCGGAGAGAATCGCACACGGGTCAGGAGCCTCACACTGTCCCACACGCCTGGAGGCCAGGACTCCCCGTGAACGTCCCACCTTCTCTGGAATTGGATCCGGATAGAATTCTCAGGGAAGGAAGCAGAGGTACCAAGTCACACCAGGAGCTGTGCCCCTCTGACACACGGGTGTCTCGTGGCAGTGTCCTCTCTGGGGAAACAACCTCGAGCTCCGAATCAAGAGTGGGCAGCGTGCTTGGCTGTGCCAATCACCGAGTCACAGTACAGGGGGCCAAGTTCACATCAGATGAGCTGTGAGGCAAAAGTTATAAGATACAGATAAAATCAGATTCTTGGGAAGCGTTGCACAAACACAGAAAAACATGGAATTGCTTTGTTTTTTCAAATAAGCTTAAGAATAAATAAGAATGTTTCATTCTCTTGAAATTATGAAGGAGGGAATTGCATCTGGGAACAGGAAGAGAAGGTAATTCAAGAAGAGGGAGATGTGATAAAGAATCTGCTGGAAATGAAAAATGTAGTCCTTGAAATAAAAAGAATTAGGCAATAGGATAAAGACCAGAAAATAGGCATAACTTGTGTAAGAATGACCAGAGGGATTTCTGCTTCTGACTTAACGCATCTTAGCCATTAAATAAAAGTGATTCTTTTCCTGAATACGCCTTTCTAAATCTAAAATTTTGGAGAGTAGAAAAAGTAAACACTTTGAGAAATAAATGTCACAGCGTAATGAGCTATTAGCCCCTTTATGAAGTTATTAATTTTCATAATCCCCCACACTCTTTCCAAATCCTTTTTCTCAGGTGGCACTACACATCCTTGGTCTCTTTTTCTTTTCCGTGAAGTTTCCTTCCGTTCCACATTTTCACTGAATTTGTGAGTTATCGAACTGTTAAAACACCTGGTCGTCCTAATGCTTTGCCCTGATCTTGGTCCATGACATTGTTCTAACACCTGCCTGTGGAACCACTTCCCTGCGTGCACTTCCGCGTCCATCCCATCTCCCCAAGAGATTCCCGCTCTTGTTCACCAAAAACTCCCTTGCCTATCCTTCCACCTGCGCCCATCCTTCCCGACTCCGCGGAAAGACCGAGTCCTCCGGGAAACCTTCCCCAAGTGGCCCTGACTCTGCCCCTTGTCTCGCTTACAGCCCCTCTCACCCAGTGAGTGGCAAGATCATCTCCTTATGGATGGGGTGTGGGAGTATTTTTGCTTCCCCAGTATCTCTCAGAGTCTGGCCTCTAGTAGAAACTCAATAAGTACTTGTATGAGCAGATAAGTGAACGAATGGTATAAACAAAGAGCATACAGAATGAGAAGTGGGTTATTGTGGTTGAAAATGAGATTTAATAGTCATTGCAGGGAGCTTTAACTTTAATGTTTGTTCTAACAGAAGAGGAAATAATTCTAGACTCGTAAGCAGGACAGTGATAAGAAAAATGTGGCATTTGAGGAAATTTGATCTGGCATTGATAGGTCGATAGGCAAAGAAAAGAAGCATGTGCAATAAAATGTACCGTGAGTGAGTAAACGTGTATGGTGAGGACTTCCTATATCTCATAAATGCCTATAAATAGTCATAATGTCCGCGATAGCCGGATAATTCAAACCTTCCTCTGAGGGGCTGACCTCAGCCTGCCCGTAAAATGGTAAATCCTAAAAATCCAATAATGGTTGATTTGCTGTGGGAATATACTCCTTATGTTATTGCCATTTCTGATTCAGGTAAAGAAGTAGAAATCCAATTACCTCCTTTCTCCCTAGTCCGTGACCTATAACTAATTATTCAGGTAAATGTGCTGGAGTTCGTACAAGAAGCAGGAACAAAAAGAATGAAATTTGAACCCTTTTTAGAGGTTCTTTTAAATGCAGCTTCTCAAAGCTGAGCTTAAATCTATAAATAGTTAGAGCTGCATAGATTTCATTGAGGTTTCTGAGAAATGGATCCGCTTTTCCAGAGTATGAGTAATTTTGTGTATGCTGAAGCATTAAAAGTATGCAGAATAATATTTTTCTTTTCTTTTTGAACAGCAAAACTTAGAGAGTAACCTCACCAACCTTATTAAGAGGAACACGGAACTGGAGACCCTTTTGGCTAAACTCATCCAAACCTGCCAGCATGTGGAGGTGAGTGTCTCATGTGAAAACTGCCAGACCGCGGGTTTATCCCCTCGCTTTTACACTTGTAAGATGGGAGTCTTCTCGAAATTAGATCTTTTGGAGAAGCCAAATATAAGAGAGGCACAAAATCGAAGGGACTAGAACCTTGGAGAATCTTGCCCCGTGCACTGCTTTGTCTTACCCCCACTGCCCTCTCAGCTCTCCCCGAGGCAGCTGTACTTCGCTTTCCTCATATGGTAGATTTTGATCGCTCTTACAAAGAGCGTACAAAAAAGCACTATTTAAAAGGTGTTGTTATCAGTGTGCTGGGGCTCCGTCCTGCAGGCCAGAAGTTCGAAATCGAGGAGTCAGCAGGGCCCTGCTCCTTCTGAAGGCTCTAGGGGAGGACAATTCCATGCTTCCTTCTGGTAGTTCCAGGAAATTCTTGGGATTCCTTGACTTGGAGCCGCAGCACACTCTAATCTCTGCCTCTGTGCTCCCACGCCCTTCTCCCTGTGTGTCTCTGTGTCTGTGACCAAATCTCCTTACAGGGACACCCGTTGTTGGATTGGGGCCATCCTACCCCGAGTATTGAATTCACTTTAACTTGATTATATCTGCAAAGACCTTACTTCCAAATAAGGTCATATTTGCAGATTCCGGGAGTTAGGACTTGGATGTAATTTTTCTGGGGCGGGGGGCGACACGATTCAACCTACTGCGAGTGTCTACAAGATGCACCTTAGTTGTCAGACATGTTTCCTTGAAATTGACCAATTGTTGGGGTTAAGTGCAGGCAGCAGTGACAGACGCAGCAGAGGGTAAAGTGAATATGTGTGATAGGAGTAAATGGAGGAAAAAAATGGAATGATCCATGTGCTGTATTTTATTTGTACGATGTGATGGCATCTGATGTTTAGGACAATCAGAATAATTTCTCGCCAGTTAAAAAAAAATGACCTGTGTTTTATGGGGAAATCTTACAAAGGTTTTACAGACTGGGTGATTATTCCATTCAATTTCAGCTAGTTACTTATTAAAGCATTTAGTGTCTGGTCTCCATTACGGCCGGTGGCAATTTCAGAACAACTGTCTTGCTCCTAACGCAATATTAGTGTGGCTTGAATTTACAAAATGCTACCATTTTAACGTGTAAAATTGCTTTCTATAATGTACAGCAATTTCAAATGATAGATAGTATTTTACAAGCAGATTTCATTGATTCCAAAAGATAAGGTATTTAGTTGTGATATAGGCTTTTTTAATTTTTTAATTATTTTTTAAATGTTTTATTTTTGAGAGAGCGAGTACAAGCAGAGGAGGGGCGGAGAGAGAGGGAGACACAGAATCTCAAAGCAGCATCTAGGCTCCGAGTTGTCAGCACAGAGCCCGACGCGGGGCTCGAACTCATGGACTGAGAGATCATGGCCTGAGCTGAAGTCGGACGCTTTAACCGACTGAGCCACCCAGGTGCCCCGATATAGGCTTTTTAAATAAAGCAATTTCCTAGTGGGCCGCCTGGGTGGAGTTGGTTGAGTGTCCGACTTCAGCCCAGGTCATGATCTCACGGTTTGTTCGTGGGTTCCAGACTGCTTTGAATCCTCTGTCCCTCCCTCTCTCTGCCCCTACCCTGCTCACGTGCTTTTTCTCTCAAGAATAACCATTTAAAAATAAACAAATAAATAAAGCTGCAACTGAATTGATTGTAGCAGACTTGCTGCACAACGCAGGCCATGAGAAGTTATGCAGAGAGTAAAGACAAGGCGTAAAGAATATTCATTCATTTTGGGGCGCCTGGGTGGCTTAGTCGGTTAAGCGTCCGACTTTCGCTTAGGTCATGGTCTTGCGGTTCGTGGGTTCGAGCCCCGCGTCGGGCTGTGTGCTGACTGCCAGCTCAGAGCCTGGAGCCTGTTTCAGATTCTGTGCCTCTCTCTCTCTGACCCTCCCCTGCTCACGCTGTTTCTCTCTCCTAGAAATAAATAAAAGACATAAAAAAAATTAAAAAAAGAAAAGAATATTCATTCATTTTACTGTGCTTCTGAACAAAGCCTCTAAATTGAAAGGAATGCTTGCGGGTGAATAAATTTGGAATTTGGGAAATTTCTTCCGAATAAAAATTAATAATGAGTAGAGAAATGATGCCAGGAGTACCTATTTTTTTACATGTGTCCCTTGTTCATAATTACTAATATTCTCAGAATATAATTTTCCAAAAATCAAGCATCCAGTTCTCATACGATAATCAGACGAGTCTGTTAAGGATTTCTCGAAGCAAAATGGCAAGGCTGCCCGAAAGAAGGACAGTAGAAGCTGGTGCTGCCAAACAGTGGTGGCAGGGGTGAGGGTGGGGTGCGAGTGCGGGAGGAAGGCGCTAGAATAAAGTAGCTACACGAGATGCAAAACTGGTTGGTGACATAAAGGGCAGTAAAGTCATAACGTTTGGGCAAAATGAGTTGTATATCATCAGTTTTCTCCAAGTTTCCACGTTGGCATTTAACTTTGCAGAGACTAAGCCTTGCTCGAGAGTTAAATAGAAAGCCCAACTCTGTGACATCCCAGCCTGGAGCGTTACATGACCCTCCCTTGGGCGGCCTTGATGGAGAATGGGCTCGCACGGTCCTGGAAAGGGCGCACAGTCTTCTTTTTGCCTTATTTCCAAATGTTGGATAATGTAGCCTCACGTGACTTTCTACTCTGTTCTGGACACTGTCGATCTATGATCTGTGTTCACTACACAGATATTTCTGGGCGAGGGTGTAAATTTTTGCCTCCGGCCGGTCACTTGGGTGGCTTAAAGCTGTTCATTCCATTCACGTATGGGACAGGCACTGTGCTAGGTGCCAAGGACCCACCATCTTGCCTAAGACAAAAGGGAACTGCAATACCAAATTGGAAACTGCAATACCAAATTGCCGTAAGAGAGGTGCGGACTACGCACTTGGAATTTCAGAGAAGCGAGGCACTTCTTCCAGCTGGGGGTTGCAAGGCAGAGCCCGATCTGAGCCCGCCTTCAAGGGTAGGCGGCCTTGAAACCGAAGCACGGGGATAGAACAAAAAAGAGTGTATGTGCGCAAAGCAAGTAGTTCATTCTGGAAACACAGAAGGTGTGTCAGGGGGATCGGTAGGAAACTGGGCTTTAATAATTGCATCGTTGTCTAACTATATGTGATCTTGAAGGTTTAACGAGGGTCCAAGGAACACAGAGACTCGGGTAATTTTCACACTTACAACTGGCATCCCTGATCCTTTCCGGTAAATGATATTTTTGACCAATGGAAAATTCCTACAGATATCTTAGTGCAAAATGCACTAAGTGCACATCCAAGGGGAAAAAACCCTCACGGCACACTAGTAAACTCCAAAAAGGCAGGAGAGTTTGTTAGGCACTTTTAAGCGCTCACAGTGGAAAAGAATTTCCTGGTTCACATCCTAGGTTCCTAGACTGTATTTCTTCCTTTTCCTCTTCCTGAAGGTGTCCTTGTATTCGGGCATGAGCATTCCTAGGGAAAATTATCCCCGTGACTCTCAATTGTTGTGAATCAAGTCAATGAATTCCCACCAAATCCTGAGGAAGTGCCACATCCTTATTAAGTCCACACCTCCTTCCCGAGATTCACTTCTGCTTTGCTTTAGAATGAAAAGAGTTTGAAGGTCTCCCTCCCTTCCCCCATCCCCATTGTTTTTCATAACTTGTTTTTAACGTGAGGGTAAGCAAATGAAATGGCTCTTAGATAGCAAGTACCAAATCTTTTAGTTTTTAGTTTATTTTTATTTAATTTTGAGAGAGAGGCAGAGAGCGAGCATGGGAGGGTCAGATAGAGAGGGAGACAGAATACCAGGCAGGCTCTGTGGGCAGCACAGAGCCTGATGCGGGGCTCGAAATCACAAACCGTGAGATCATGACCTGAGCCGAAGTCAAGGTCGGATGCTTAACAGACTGAGCCTCCCAGGCGTCCCAAATCGTTTTAAAACTAGTGAACGGAGGGTATGAAGACCGAAGCATTTCAGGACTCAGGAGGGAGAGGTATTGATAGAGCAATATTAGGTCGACCCCCAAGACATGTGTGCATAATGTGATGGCTGGGATTCTAAAAATGAGTAGGTTTTTAGCCAATGGGTTTTGTTTTCTTCAGGAGAGGAAGACATGACAGAATTCTCTTGGGATGAGTTTAGCGTCAGTTATGTATGGGGTATAGTACAAACTTATGAGAAGTGATCAAAATTTGGATCAGCTACCGATCTTAGCATTTCCAGGTCAAATGTGGACTATTTCTCTTCATCATCTCACCCTCCTCCCAGTTTTATTTTCAAAGTGAGAAAGCTTGGTTTTTTAGTTAAGCAAATGCTGGTAAGTTTCTTTTTTTTTGAATGTTTATTCATTTTTTGAGAGACAGAGACAGAGCATGAGCAGGGGAGGGGCACAGAGGGAGACACAGAATCCGAAGCAGGCTCCAGGCTCTGAGCTGTCCGCACAGAGCCTGATGTGGGGCTCAAACCCACAAACTGCGAGATCATGACCCGAACTGAAGTCAGTCGGCTTAAGCGACTGAGCCACCCAGAAGCCCCAATACTGATAAGTTTCAAAGCCTCCACACATTCTGAGAATCAAGTTCTTTTACAGAGATTACCACACCTGGACACAAAAGAGATGTTCATCTGGGCAATTACAGGTGACCAATGACTGAATCCACGAGAAATGGTAAAGAAAACCTGGGGAAGGGTGACTAATTAATTACCAGAACAGTGTGGAGAAGATAAAAGGTTTTGGGTTTTTTTTTTTTTAACAAATTCCTTTTGCCATTGTTTTTCACGCTAAGCTTTTAAACTATCTTTTTCTTTGATTTTAATGGAAACTTTGCTCTCTTACTGGCTTTCTCTGAGTTCCTCCACTGCTAGATGACGTATGAAGTGACAGACTTCTTGGGGGTGAACTAAGTGCTGTTTCATTCCATTTTTGCTCATACTGGGCTCCATAAATTGAGAGGGAGGAGGCTGATATGTTACAGTAATAGCTTGTAAGAAATGGT